TTGTATATTTTCAATATACAACTATTATTGTATTTTGGAGTATCAACGGAAGGAGCTTTTGTATTTCTGCGCATGGTTTTGAAAGCCTCAGGTCCTCTCTGTCTTGTGAATACGGAGAGACAGAACACGTTCTTGTTACTGGATAAAGATGAGAGGAGGCTTAGGCGACAAGACAGGTGCAATTTCATGTCTGGCGCCAACGGGTCTGGTTGTTCGTTTGCATGAACCAAGTGGTCGTTTGCTTCTTGCTAAAAGTGGAGCAGCGAACGCTCTCCGATATATTTTGTCCTAACTCCCACGAAGCATAACATGGTATACAGGCGTACTTGCATATTCCTTATCGGGAAAAGAAAGCTTGATCTTTACTGGGTCTTTGCTTTTGTTTTTGCTGCTAGCACACGAAAATTTGACTTGTTCTAGTTGCAACAGGAGTTGTTTCATTCCGCATGATATAACGAAGCGAGGACTGTTCCATTCGTGTTACAAAACGTAACACGTAAGAGGCTCGAAACTTTACTTCTGATCGAATGTATTTGGAGTACGGTGGTGAGAGACTAGTTTTTTTCCGAACCATCAATATTCAAAACTGTGACGTTGCCAGATTGTAAGAGCTCGTTGAGTTCTCGCCACCGATAAGGGACTCAGGAGTCTTCTTGTGCTTCCTTGCGATGAAAAGAAGATTTCTGATAAATGAAAACAACACCAACTACGCAGAAACAACCGAGGCTTCCAGTGCCATTGTTAGTTGGGCTATGCTCAAGTGTTTTTTAGCGGACGAAGAACCAGATTCTGGTTTTGGGTGGTTTACACATACCACCAAGAAGCACAATAAGTGGAGGTCAGTATGTGTGAAGTGCGGAAACCACTGTAAATACCGAGGGTTTCTGGACCTCGGAAAAAACATTTGGAGACATAAAACTGTGGACGAACAGACGGCTAGAAGGCTGGGCTGGATCGGGGGGGGGGGTGACCATATATATATATATATGTATATGTATATACATATACACATATTTTATGCTCTTTCAACAGAACCACGGTAAATATCAAGCAAAAGGTTTTGGATGAAGAGTTGCAAGGATGCCCCAACAAGCTTCCTAAGACTTGCAAGGATGCCCTAAAAAACTTCCCAAGACTTGTAAGGATGCTCTAAAAAATTTCTTAAGACTTGTAAGGATGCCCTCGTACAACGCTATACAAGGCTCCAGCACAACCCTTAACAACCGAATACTGTTTACATAACCCTACACTAGACAAAAAAGCGTTTCAGTTGTAGTAGGGACCGTTTTTGCGTTTTCGCCGCTCAGTTGTGGTAGGGTCCACTTTCTGGTTGCAGTATAGGGCTTCTGGTTGTAGTATCGGGCTTCGGGTTGTAGTAGGGACTATTTCCGGGGAAGGGGTGGGTGGGACTCCCTACAGAGAGCCCACATCCAATGGAGGAGGCGAGATTTCACCGCAGGACCCTGCAGCTCGTTTTCGGGTTCACGCAAAGGGACCCTCCCCCCACCCACGATGTCCCTTTTGGAGGGTGGGGGTGACTGGGGGTTGTCCATCCGAGAGACACATGTTAAGTCTGTTAACACATGGGGGTAGTCCGTGGCACTTCGATAGTCCAACTTGCCCGCAGGAACAGCAGTTGACATGAGCATCACATGGGAGCCACGAGTCTTCTTCCAGCCCTTGTCTGCGTCACCTGTAGCCACAATGGCAAATCAGAAGGACAGAGAATCGCCGGTCAATAGGCGAAAAATCCGGACCTTTCTGATTTTTCCGAGACTTCAGACGTCGTGCAGTCAGGCAAGTTGCAGCATCCCCCCCGAAAAGGAGCACACTGCCAGGGACGTTTCCAAGACACAATCAAAACTTGAGCTTCAGGCCGCGCACAGCGGCGACTTCACTCAACCCTCCGCCAGCTTTCTTTGGAGGTGACCAAATTCTTAGAGTGGGCATCTCCCGCATCAGTCAAGTTCTCTCCATCCTGAAAAGTCTCACCTCCAAGAGGAGCTGCTGATCTTGTCCCTCACGAAGGTGGGAGACCCCGGACGCGGAGCTGGGGGCCGGGGCCGGGCCCGGGCCCGGCCCCGCAAGAGAGACTCAAAAAACACAGACCACTCTCTCTCTCTCCCTCTCTCTCTCTCTCTCCCTTCTCCGCATCGCAGGCAGATCCAACGCACGCTGATGCGATGCTTCGAGCTTTGCAGGAAACCGATTCCGAGTGACAAGCTGGAACGGGCATATCGATGTGAGCACCTTAGTCGGTAGCCCCCTTGCCACAGAGTCAAGCAGGTACTCGTATTTTTCAGGATGTCCGTTTCCGCAGTCACCCTTGTCCCGCGGGGCTCGATGGTTTAACCGGCTCTTGCTCTGAAACCGGCTGCTTTCTGCTTTGTTAGGTAGCAGTCGACGTGCAGCTTGCTGGATGGAGTTCGGAGGGGTTCATTCGACATCAGCTGGGCTCGTTTGGACGGGGCGACATGCTTCTGGGAGGTAACTCCAGATCCAAAGCAGTCGGAGCGAAGCTTCAAGCATTCTCCGAGCCGAATGCGGCTTGCGATGAAAAAAGCTTGCTTCTCGTGTTGCCTTTAGTGACATGACAAGCCCGTTCCATCGCGCCAACATGCTGAAGGACTCTGCCCGGCAGATTCGCCAGGGGTGTCGGCAGGTAATCACCGACTGGGCACAGTCTTTGTACAGCAGCTGTTGACGTTCGATGTTTGTTTGAAGAGGCTAGAAGGACCGTGCCAACTTGCAATTGCTCCGTGGCTTAGGTTCCACACGGGCCTTCACTGTCGCCAGCCTCGATACTGCTGACATTCTTCTCCGAGCTTGGGGCTTCGAGTCAGCAGCATTCTGCTCGAAACGATGCCCTGACAGCTACTTCAAGCTGCAAGCCTGCCCATTGAATGACCTGGGCTTCAGTTGAAGCCGTTTCATTCGACCATACGGATTTGAGGCCTCAAGTACTCGAGTTAGCGAGATCTCACCTGAAAAACCCTCGCTGTTTGGTCGTGCCCGCAAGCTACATCGTCGTTGGAGCCTTGTGTAGGTAAAGGAGAGGGGGCATCTATTCGTAGAAACCAGGGCACCTGCGTAGTGACCTGTCCCGTCTATTTATTACAGATCTGCAGAGCTCATCCTTGCCTTCAAGGGCGCGGAGCACAAACACCCCACCAGGGACGCGATTGCCTTATGGGAAGCTTCGAGTGTGATATCTTTGGGAAGTGTGACTCATCGCCGCATGCAAGAAGAGCAGGGATTGTAAGTCAGCCCGTTTGTGTTTACGCTGAATGCAAGTTCGGGGTGCGACAGCTGCATGTTTTGACCACCAACAGTTTCCTAAAGGAGTCTGAGTCGAAGACAATCAGCAGCAGTCATGTAAGATAGGCTAAAGAACCGATTCGTGGTTGCCACAGTCCTATTCTCTCGCCTGGTCGATGCTCCGATGCCCGAAAAGCGTTGCGAAGCCCTTGAACAAGGATGGTGCGGGCTCACTTGCTGCCTGACAGGGTCCTCCAGCGTCTCGCATGCATACCTCACCCCCACCCCTCCACAACTAGGACCGCAGCATTTCCCACCAGCCCGGAACAGCTCCGCATCGTCAGGAAGTGCTGTTTTATTCTGCGCACAGACTGGGAACTCCAGAACGGCCGCAGGCGGCAGGAATCCACAGAAGGATCCTGAAGTTCCCGACTCTTCCGGTGTGCGCTGGCACGGCACGGTCGAAGTGTGCTCCTTACAAGACTCTGATCGCAGTGACATTAGACCATAGGCAGCAGGAACGAACTTCGGACGGTGGTTGTGTCTGTGAGTGTAGTGTTTTTTGATGCCTTTCACGGCAGCCCAGCCGTGGTTTTAGGGAGTTGCTGCTGCTCGAGCAAAGTTGTGCAAAGCAACGAAGTTAACTGTTTTCGTTTGCTCCCTTGGATGGAAACTTTAGGACTTTAGGAGCGATGACGGGAATAGGTATTCCGAAAGCACGAGCAGCAGCAACGCGCAGAAATTCCCAGTCTCCTGAAGCAGTTTGCTGGTGGCATGCCCATAGCCAGATGGGTGCGGCAGCCGATCCTGCTGAGACGGTTTTGATTTCGCTTATCCGTCATGCCGTTATCTCGTGGTCGACACATGAAGCTTCAGATGTCTGGAACTGCAGGCCCCCGTGACCCAAAGACACAGCCGGAGTTTACGACCAAAGAGAGGCAGCATGCAAGACTCGGTGTCCATTCACGCCAAAGCCAGAAAAGATGAAGAGACATGGCGAGAAGTGAAGAGACAAGCCTGAGCTCGGCCACGAGAGGGCGTGGCACAGCCGTTCTGCGAGTCGAGCCCAAGGTGCGAACTCAGCTTCGCAGCCTGTCTCTCTGGACCAGGCGCTCCACTAGAGTAACTTGGAACGACTGCAATTCTCAAAGTTCTGCATTGTGTGAGGCCAGCTCCTCGCCGCCTGCGTCCACTGAAGTGATTGAAGGCCAGGGCCAAAGCCGATGAGCTGAGGAAATTCGGAAATTCGGCGCCTTAGCGTCGGCTTTCAGAGGCCTCAGCGCCTGCCTTGGCCCAGATCTGGCTGGCCTGCGCCCACGCATTGAAGCCTGGGCCGAGGCACCCGCTTGCGTTAGAAATCTGCGGGGGATTTTGGGTTGCGACGTCCTTTTGAGGAGCAGGGCGCTGCGTTTCTGGAGGAGCTGATCCAGTGCCTTGGCTTCGAAGGTTCCAGCCATTTCCAGCGGAGCCAAGCGCTTCGTCACTGGAAGATGCGTGGGCTTGTGGATGGTTGTGGTAGGACCTGCCAAAAGGCAGTCTTTTAAGTCGGATATACCTAACACGTAGAATAGGGTTTGGAGCAAACACATCCGACATCGGGCTGCAGGCTATCACAGCGGGGGGCAAAGCATTCGACGGAACGAAAGAACGAGAGATTTCTGCTCAAGGGCAAGCACCATCACCAGGCAAAGATCCTGAAACTGAGACTGTCGGTGAATCACTTTCGCGCCTGGAACTCTCTGACTCTCTTCCCGATGGAGGGCCCCCAAAGGCCTTCGTTTTCGAAGGCAAGACGAGGGAGAGGTCCAAGCCACACGTGTCTGGTCTCGGAGTCTCGGAGAGGAGACGAGAGAAGAGCTCTCTGGAAGTTCGCTGCAGACTCTACAGGGATGAGGTCGGGGGTCGATGTGCGAGAGAGCTCAGAAGGGGGAGGGCAGGTCACGGCAGCGTGGGCCCCACTGAAGGCAGAGTGAGATGACACCGATCGCGACTACCAATTTCACCACCCAAACACGAGATGCTGCCTCCGTCCAATGTTCTATATTTATACTACATAATTCCTCGTGTCTCGCGGCCAACAGAATGCTGAGGGTCCTTCATAACTTCCGTCTGGAGTTCGGACCTAACTCGAACAAACGTAGTTTCCTCAGCGATCAGTTGCAGAAGTTGCAGATAGTTGCAGGGTAGCAGCACTGAACCTCGACCACACGACGGCTTCAGCTCCAGAGTTGTGTCAGGCCGCCTCATTCCGGATGACATGTTGAGCCCATGCGGGAAGATCCTAGGTGGTGGCCGCGAGGTCCTGCAGTTCGACAATTAAAGCTCCCATGTTAGCATGCCCCGGGTCACAAGCGCACCGAAAAAATCGAAAAGAATGAGAGAAGCTACAATGAGATAATGGGGAGTGGAAAGATGTGCCATACAAAGCTTGCAGGCGCGCACGCTTGGTGGGCACGATTCTTAGATTGAGGCATGCGCCCGAGATGTGCGTCAGCCTGGGCCTCTCGCAGGCGCGAGCTGCGGAGCTGAGAACGTCATGTGCATGTTTGCAGCCAGCAGTACGGGACCCCGCCGCAAATCCTGCGCCCCTTGCAAGGTTTCACGAAAGCCCCAACATCGGATTGTTCTTTCACAGGAAGAGGCCTCTCGTCTCTTCGCTCGCTATCGGGAGGCAGCCTGGCTTTTAGCCATCCAGAGACAGCGACCTGCAAAACAGAGTTGGCATCTTGTAGCAGCACTCCGACAAAGGCTTTTGCCAAGTCACTCAGCCAGTTGCAAGCAGAACGCCGTCGACGTAGAACAGACAAGACTGGCGCAGAAGCGGGCCTGCAGGTGACCATCCTGAACGTGAGCCTTGGCTCTCCCGAGCTGTGTGTGTGTGTGTGTGCAAGTTTCTCGGCCAGATGGCCAAGGACAGCAGCTGAGAAGGCGCCGACTCAGCGGGAGTTGGCGAAGGTGAAGCCCACAAGACCTGCACCTAGTTTACGCAGAGCTGTTCACGGCGCGGCGCCGTCGATTCGGTGCGTGCGCTGTACCAAGCAGGCTTGGAAGGGGGAGAGGTGCAGGTTGCAATTTGGGGTCGTGGTCCGCACGCTGTTGTCTCGCAGGCAACTTAAATCACAAAGTTTGCCTCAGGTTGTCTTGCTGTCACTAAGATGGGTCGAAATGGAGCACCCAAGCTGCAGGAGGCCGTGCTGCAAGCAGCTACTCAGCCGCAAGCTGTGCCGAAAAGCTCGTCCTGTGCTCGGGCTGACGCAGCGAGAAGTGATGTTGCAAGGCTCCGATGCAGGTCCTAAGGAATTCAGCCTTTTTCTCCTCATAGTGCATACTTCAGGTGACCATTGCCTCCCAGCATGAAGGTTGGGGTCGCAAATGGAATGAGCCTCGTCCAACATGCGATTGTTCGGCTAGTTTCGCATAGGTTCACCTTATGGTGAGTCAGTTCAGCTTGAGTCTGCTCTTTCATCACTGCTCGCCCACCTTGGGTGGATTGCGGTTCGTCGCGCTTGAACAAATCCAATGACACAAACGCACAGTAGCACAGACAGATAGACAGACAGACAGGCAGACA